GATGCCCCGGAGCCTCCGGGGGAGCGTGTGGCAGATGCTGTGTGATGTTGGAAGTCGCTTGACTTCTCTGAGCCTGCTCCCTGGACTTGATGCAGGCATTTGACAGGTGACGCGTGAAGGGCTCCTGGCCCACATGTTGGGGTTGGCGGAAGGCAGGCGGGGCATGGAGACTGCGGGTGGAGACAGGGCCCGGTGGGCCCTGGCGGAGGTGGGAAGCTGTCCCGTGTGAACCCTGGGGGCATGCTTCCCCCAGTGGGTCCTGAGTGGAGGCGGGGGAGGATGAAGGGAGGAAAAGGAGTCCCTGACCTGTCCTGAGGGTGGGGTGGGGCGGCCACTGTCCTCCGTGAATCCCGTGTCTCCTGCACACGTGGGGGTTCCTGGGACCGTCAGCCGAGGGGCCGGAAGGGGCTGCACACCCGCGTGGGCCCCCACCTCCCCCAGGGCGCCCCCCTGCCCTTTGTAAACTGTGGAGTGCAGTGCACACTTCTGGGGCAGGCTGACAGTCACCTGGGCTGCCCCGCCCCCACCTCAGCGTTTCCGGTTTTCTAGCTCGTGTGTCTCCAGCTCGAGGGGTGGGGTGGCCGCTGCTGCGCCTGCAGGTTGATTCTGGCGTGTCCGTCCACACTCCGTCACTGCACCTGGCTCAGGTTGTCTCTGCCGGCTCTGCGTGGTTCTGTCTCTCCTTGTGGCCGCGTCGGTCACTGTCTGGGGAGGACCTGTATGATGCCAGCGTGGACTGTCCTCTGAGCCGTGTGTCAGCAAGATTTCCCCGATGCCCACACTAGGGCCCCCAGGGCCCACCAGCAACACTGATTCTGGCTCCATTTAAGATTTTGATGCTGGTCATTGTGAATTTTCCCATCATTTTTTTTTTTGAAACATTGTGTCACAACCTTACTTGTCTTGATTACTGAGTTTGAGGGCCTCTGAAATCTTGTGCTAAGCGTCTGCTCCCCCGGCTCCCCCAGGAGCTGGCCGCTTCCAGCCTGTGATCCTCATTGGCTCCACCCTCTCACCCCCCCAGGGCTCTGGGCTCCTGGCCCCACCGGGCCCCTAAAGCGTGTGCTCGCTGCTTTGGTCCCCAGGCCTCCCCTCCACCCCGCCCCGCTGCTGATGTTCCCGCGTGCTCCCCAGAGGAGGTCAGCATCTGACCAGCCATGTGGGTCCTCCTGCCTTTGCAGGCCCCCAACGCTCGTCCAGGATCCAGCGGTGACCGTGTAGACAGGCCACACGCAGCCCACTGCTCCCCAGCCGAGTCCCAGCCGCACCGGGCCTCCTGGGGCTGTGAGCAGGGCCTCCACGCCCACGTGTGCAGAACTTGGCCCACGCTGTCCTGTGTAGCAGCTGTGTGGTGCAGCCGCCTCTCAGCCACGTGACCCCCGACATGTGGCCTTTCTGCACCCCCAGCCTCCACAGTGTCCCTGGGCCACGCCATCCACCCCTGCTGGCGTGAGCGCCGTGGCACCGTGCCCGTGTCCTCTCATCCCGTCCTGTCCCAGCTTCTGGGGCCACAGACCCGGCCTCCGGCAGGCGCCCCGCCCCAGCCCTAGGACACTCTTAGCAGGTGGATCTGACAGGCAACTTTATGGCCCAGGCGCCTGATGATCACTCGTTGGGGGAAAGCGGCTGCTGAACCTCGGCCTAGAGGAGAACCGGCTATGCAGGCTGCGTGCGGCCAGCAGGCCGGGGCGGGGCATCCACACTGCCTGGCCGGGACTCGGGCAGGTCTTGGCTGGTTGGCCCACGTTTGGCTGCTGGTGACCCTCAGTCCCGGGGCCCGCCAGTATCCCCTCCCCGCCTGGGACCCCAAAGGCCTGGGGCCAGTGGTGGGGCTGCGGGGCTCCGGGTCCTCTCCAGGGCTCTGTGGCCCCCTTCCCGCGGCTGGCTGTGCCCCTGCCCAGGGCCCCGGGGCCTGGGGGCGCCTGGCCTGGCAGAGGACAGGCCTCCCGAAGCTGCAGTCCCTGCTGCTGCCCCCGCTGCCCCACCGGAGCCCGGCGCGATGGCCCAGCCCGACAGCTGCCTCTGCAGACTCGACCCAGGCCCCACGACTAGACCCCAGAGGCTGGTCCTGGGCTCTGCCCCCACCTGACAGCCTGGCCTCTGTCCTCTGAGCTGACTCTGTCCCAGGCTGGGGGTCCCGGGGCCTGAGACTCCTCGACGATCTGTCTCACAGAGCCCGGTGGCCCAGATCCCGGCCCCGTCCCTCCTGTGGGCCTGGCCGCGCTGACGCCAGCACACCCGGAGGGGCTCCCTGGGCTGGAGCGTTCAGAGGTGGCTCGGGGGCTTCTGGAGAAGTTGGGGGTCAGCAGGGGTCCCTTGCTGAGCACCAGCGCTCCCTGCAGACAGCAGGGCTGACCATGCCTGCGGGCAAATGCTTTCTGGGCCCCCAACAGCAGATACTCAGGATGGACTGTGACGCTCGGGGTGAACCTTGATGGTGGGGTGGACCTTGACGCTGGGGATGGACTGCAACACTGGGGAGAGGGCGGCTGAGGCTCCCTGAGGCCCCAGCCAGTGGAAGCTGTCAGAGCCACCCTGAGGGGCAAGGAGACAGCGGCCAGGTCAGGGCAAGGGTGCTGCCCATGCCCTCTGTGACGGGCACGCACATGCACACACACTCTCACGTACACATGTGCACTATTTTGCACTCACATGTACAACAGAGACACCTCCCCATGTACACAGTCACATGATTCACACACGTGCACATGCATGCACTCACAAGTGCACACACACACATGCATATGTGCACATGTTCACTATCATGTTCTCACGGATACACTACACACTCAGAAAGGCACGCACCTGCCCAACTCTCAACAGCACACTCAGGAGCACATGTTCTCACAGGGCACACACACACACGTGACAGACTTACGTGTGACATGCACAGACTCACATGTGTGCACACACCAGTTCGAACAGACAATGCACAGGTGCACTCAGCTCATGGGCACACTCGTGCATGCTCTCACACGCATGCAGGAGGCACACTCTGGCTCCACCCCCGCCTGCAGCCTTCTCACAGCACGAGGAAGTGGCGACACAGGGTTAGACCTCAGACAGCAGTCTGTAGCTTTGACCTCCGACCCCACTTGCTCTGAGGGGATCGTCCACGTGGGGTGCCCCCGGATGTGGTCGTGTCATGGATTTTTATTCCTGGAGAACATCACTGTGACCTGAGTGTGTCACCACACTCCCGGTGGACTCGGGAGGCTGAAGCAGCCCTGGGACCCACAAGGCTCACTGGTTCCCGTCCAGTCTCTTTGGTCTCAGGGATGAGCTGCTCTCTGCTCTGCCAGAGGTGGCGGGGCAGGAGGGCGGGGGACACCCTCTGGGGGAGCTGGGGGCAGCCTCGTGGCTCCCCGGCCTGCCCTGAGCCGGGCACCAAGGGGCCTGCCCCTCAAGGGGCAGAGAGGCTTGCAGATCTGTGACCCGGCCTCACAGAGCACCAACGAGGACAGCACGAGCTTCGTCCACAGCTCTGCGTCTGCAGTGAGTGCTCGGCACGGCCCCGGGGTGCTGGTCGCGTGGGCGGGGAGTGGGCGAGCAGGCTGGGGGTGGAGACCAGGGCCACCCTGCGGCGGTCATCTGTAGTTTGTCTGGTTGTCTTGTGAAAATGCAGGTACTGGACACCATGGTCCAGAGTCAGGTTTACAAGAACCCGGGAATCGAGGCTCCTGTGCTAAGATACTGGGCAATGCGTCTGGGACCCTGGGCACACCCGCCCCGCCCCGCCCCCCGGCGGGTGTGGAGAAGACCTGGTCCTTCTGGAGCCCCCCGCACCCCTGAACTCCCCTGTAACTTCCCAGCGGGTGTGGGGAAGATCTGGTCCTCATGGAGCCCCCCGCCCTCCATGCAGACGCTGACAAGCCCTGGTGATGAGGCTGCGCAGGGCAAGGAAAGCCTGGCACCTGGGGGGCTGGAAAACACGTGTGTGCATGGCTGTGTGGCAGCATGTGCACACGGGTGGTGTATGTGACATATGTGCACAGTGCATGTGACATGCACACAGCATACGCGTGTGCCCATGGTATACTGTGCACGCGTGTGGCATGTGCTTGTATGTGGCAGTGCACACATGCATGTGGGATGTGCACCTACACGCGTGTGTGGGTGCACACATGCACAGACCCGGGGGTGGTAGCCTGGGCTGCACAGGCGCACACGCTCTCCCCTCGGGGTGTCTGGGCTTCTGCCTCTGTGGGGACCCAGAGCCTCTCCCGCGGGACACGCGGCTGCTGTCGCAGAAGGACTTTGGTCATTGACATGTGTCCTCTGAGTTAGGGCTTTGCGCCCAGATGTTCATGGAAGTGCCAGACCCTCTCTCTTTGTGACAGGGACTTTATTGTTCCCAAACGCCATGGTGGGCAGGCCCCGGTCCCGACGGCGCCCGGCTTCAGAAGTCAAGTGGACATTAGAGGACGTGTGGTGGGTGTTTCCAGGGCACAGACCCCTTGGAGACCCTGCCGGCCCCAGGAGGCTGAGGGTCCCTGGAGTGAGGCTGCTGCCCAGGGCTCTGTGATGCTCTCTAGCCTGTGGTTAACAGACAGCCGGCCTGGGCCAAGGAACGGGCTGAGTCCTCTGACGCTCTGGACCGACAGGCAGGCTGCCCGCCTCTAAAAACGAACCTTAACAGAAAGCACACGTGAGACAGTGGGGGACGTCGGTGGTGCCTCCTGCCGCGGCCAGGGCCGTCGAAGCAGCAGGGGGCAGACGGGTGCACACGGGCACACAGGGCGGGTCCTCCACCTGGCTGCCGGGGGCGGGCGCTGTGGGCTGGAAGCAGGTGACTGTGGGTGCGGGTGGTGCTCCTGAGCGTGGGCTCCGTGGAGGCAGCCGCGGCCCAGAGAGCCTTCCCTCTCACGTTCTTCCCGGGCAGGGGTGGGTGGGGGTCCGCTAAGCTGGGTCGAGTGGTGACCCCCGCCCACCCCAGGGGCAGAAGCCTCTGCTTTGGGGCATTCCCGGCTGCGGGGGCGAAGGGGACAGAACCCTGCCCGCTACACCGTTGTCTCGTTCCTCCAGGGCCCCGTGCGGATGTTGCCTGTGCTGTCTGAGCCGAAGGGGGCGGCGTCCTGCGCATCGCCCTTGAGCAGCCCGTTCTGGCCGGGGCCACCGAAGGGCAGCGACTGTGTCCTTCGGAGCATCTCCAGGCGCGCCGGGCCACGGGCCGCCTCCCTGCCGGGCCGTGGCGGACAGCTGTAGAGCACGGGGCTGGGGGCGCCGCCCTCGGGCTGGCTGACCAGGGGGAAGGGGTCGCCCTGGGCACAGCAGGCCAGCCCGTGAGGGCCCACGGGGCCCTCGAGCGAGCTGGGCGGGCTTTCCGAGCGCGAGCTGTGCAGGCTGCCGTCCAGGCTGGATGGGATGTGGTAGGCGTATTCCTGCTCGGCCGCAGCTGCCTGGTGCCGGCTGAAGTAGTGCGGCTTAGTTCTGCCCTGGACGCACGTGTGCAGGTGCGGGTCGTGCTCGAAGGCGTCCCCCTCGTGCACGTGGGCTGTGTCCTCCAGGAGCTGCTCGCAGTGCATCTGGGAGCAGCAGGGCGTGGCCGGCGACAGGCAGCTGACGTGGCCTTGGGTGGCCTGCAGGTTGGTCATCTTGCAGTGGCTGCTGGACAGGTGGCCGAAGCCCAGCGCCTTACCAGGACACGGCGAGTCCTGCAGGCAGGCCACGTGTCCCAGCGCGTCCCCGTTGGCGTCAAAGGCAGGGCGGGCGCTGAGCTTTGCGGGGTGGGGGTCCCGGCGGGCGGGGCAGCAGGACCACCAGCAGTGCCACACGTCGTCGCGCTTGGCGCAGTGGTGGATGAGCACGAACAGCCCCAGCGTCACGCAGAAGGCGCCGTACAGGCAGCTGAAGACCATGTCCAGGAAGTGGCCCTGCGACACGGCCAGCGCCCCGAAGGCCCACGTGGCCACGAAGAGGAGGAGCGTGAAGGCGGCGGCCCGCAGCTGGGCCTTGAACGAGTGCTCGTTCTGCAGCAGTGAGGCGGCCAGGCCGTCGGGGGCGGGCGGCGCGCCCCCCGGGGTCCCGGGGCCGCCCTCGGGGCCCGCCAGCCGCTGCTGCTCCTCCGACCGCTCCATGAGCTCGTACCTGCGCTCCGGGTGCCGCCGCAGCTGGGCGTAGGTGCCGAGGAGGTACACGCAGGTGCCCAGGGCGATGAAGGCCACCGGCCCGTAGAAGGCGCCCAGGCTGGGCTCCCAGGCCATCCAGCAGCTGTGGGGGAGAGAGGGCTCAGCAAGCGGCCACCCCGGGCAGGCTGCGGGGTCAGGTGGGGCTCGCTGCCTCCCTGCGGCCACGTGGCAAGGAGACGGGGTGGCTGGGCTGGGGCACGGGGCGCAGGCAGGACCGCGCTTGCTCTGAGGCTGTTCCTTTCCTCCGGCTCCAGCCGGACGGCGGCGCCCCAGAGAGGGCCCAGGAAGCACTGGGCCCCCGAGCGCAGGGCCGAGGGGCGGCCGCGGGAGGAGCGCACGGGTCTGGGGAGTGCTGGCCACCCAGGGGGCTCTGCTGAGGAGGGCGGAGGGACACCCGGGGCAGCCCAGGAGACCAGCCCCACAACCTTTCACCCACAGAGGTCACCGCAGGGTGGAGCTGGCAGGCGGCCCCACCGAGCTCGCGGCCTGGGCAGGGCCACCGAGGGAGGGCCCCACCCCGCCCGCCAGCCAGAGGGGCCTCAGGCGGGCGGAGGCGCTGGAGGGGGCGGTGCTGGGGCAGGAGTGGGGGAAGGGAAGGCGGGCCGGGCGCGTGCTTCCCACCCCGCCAGGCCCCAGGCCCGACCTGTGCGGCCAAACCAGCCCGCAGTGCGGGCGGGGGTGTCGGGGAGCCCAAGCTGCGGGAGGGGCTTGGGGCCCCTGGGAGGCGCTCGGGGTGGAGGCGGGAGTGGGGGTGGGGGGGGCGGCCCGGTACTCACTACGCTGCATCCTCGGCCTCCATCCCGTAGTTCCTGATATTCGTGGCGGCCGTGACGCCGCAGATGACCAGAGGGGCCCCTCCGCCGACGAGGTAGAACCTGCGGGGGGGTGGGGTGGGGGTCACTGCCTTGGGGCCCTCGCACCCCAGGGCAGCCCTGCTCACTGCGCCGCCCACGGGCAAGGCAGGGGGCGGCCCTGCTGTCCGGCTGCCCATGTGGCACCAGCCCAGCCTGAACTGAAAAGCCGCTGCCGGTGTCCGGCCAGAACTGGCCTCCCCTGCGCCCCAAGCTCCTCCCCCATGTCCCCCACGCCCCACCCCCGCTCGTCCCCATGCCCCTCCCCCATGTCCCCCACGCCCCACCCCCGCTCGTCCCCATGCCCCTCCCCCATGTCCCCCACGCCCCACCCCCGCTCGTCCCCATGCCCCTCCCCCATGCCCCTCCCCCATGTCCCCCACGCCCCACCCCCCGCTCGTCCCCCCGCCCCTCCCCCATGCCCCTTCCCCATGTCCCCCCACGCCCCACCCCCCGCTCGTCCCCCCGCCCCTCCCCCAAGCCCCTCCCCCATGTCCCCCACGCCCCACCCCCGCTCGTCCCCATGCCCCTCCCCCATGCCCCTCCCCCATGTCCCCCACGCCCCACCCCCCGCTCGTCCCCCCGCCCCTCCCCCATGCCCCTTCCCCATGCCCCTCCCCCATGTCCCCCACGCCCCACCCCCTCTCGTCCCCATGCCCCTCCCCCATGTCCCCCACGCCCCACCCCCCGCTCGTCCCCCCGCCCCTCCCCCATGCCCCTTCCCCATGTCCCCCACGCCCCACCCCCCGCTCGTCCCCCCGCCCCTCCCCCAAGCCCCTCCCCCATGTCCCCCACGCCCCACCCCCCGCTCGTCCCCAAGCTCCCTCCCCCATATCCCCTGTGCCCCCTCCCCCGTGTCCCCTCCACTCCCACACACCCCGTCCACGTGTCCCCCGCCTCGCCTCTCTGCCTGCACAGAGATGACCCTGGCCGGGCCCAGTGCGTGTGTCTGGAGGCGGGCAGTGCTCTGGTTCAGCAAGAACAGAAGGATGTGAAGGCCCTAGCTGGGGGTGGGCTGCGGTGGAGCAGGGGAGTGCCATGCACTCCAGGGGGCCTGGGCTGCGTGGATGCCTGCTCAGGCGCCCACCTCGGGCGCAGGTGTCGACGGGTGGCACTGGACATGAGCAGTTGCCCGCTGAGTCGCTGTCTGCCGGAGGCCAGGCCACAACCCGCTGGCAGTGTCAGGGACCGACAGGTGTGTGCGCCGGCCTGACGCCTCGGGGGGAGGCGCTCTGAGTGGCCGTTCCTTAAGCCTGGCAGCCGAGTCCTCCGCGGCCTGGGGCAGGTTCTAGCGTGTGACCCTCCTAGAGGGGCAGGAACTCATCCAGCTGGGAGTCGGCTAGACCCCCAGACGGAGCTGACTCTCCTGTCTGCGGGGCCTCAGCCAACAGCTCCACCCAAGGGTGCTGCCCGACGTGGGATCCTGGGGGCGTGAGCGTGGGCAGCTGTCACAGACGCGCGGGGGGCAGCCTTCCGGGAGCCCGGGGGGCCAGCTCGGGACGACCCCCTACAAGAGGATATCATTCTCAGGATGCCACAAGCACCCAGATCAGCACGACGGCACCAGGCCCCCAGTGACGGGAACGATTCCGGGTCCACGGGGGAAAACCAGGAGACCTGCACGTGGCTACCCTGGTGATGGCCGGGACCTCTGCGCCCCCCAGAAGTCTACTCCAGAAGGAAGGGCAAAAGAAGACACGTCTGGACAAAGATGAAGCCCAGAGGGGTCCTGGTCAGCTGACCTACACTTCAGGAAATGCCAGATGAGACCTTTTAGGCTGAAGGCCTACTGCACAGAGAGAAACTTAGAGGAATGAAAACCATAAGAAGCACTGAATATTTGGGTAAAGAGAAAACATTCTGTTTCCTTTTAGTTTCTTTAAAATATATATTACTGCTTAAAGACAGCACTGCTTAAAGACAGAATTTAACACTGCCCTGTGGAGTTTACAGGACTTCCCTGGTGGCTCAGATGGTGAAGTGTCTGCGTGCAATGCGGAAGACCCGGGTTCAGTCCCTGGGTTGGGAAGATCCCTTGGAGGAGGAAACGGCAACCCACTCCAGTATTCTTGCCTGGAAAATCCCATGGACAGAGGAGCCTGGCGGGCTACAGTCCATGGGGTCGCAAAGAGTCGGACACAACTGAGCGACTTCACTTTCACTTGTGGAGTTTACAATATATATGGGGCAACATTGATGAGGTCTGTAGCAGAAAGAGGGTGGGAGGGGAGGTGGGCCACACATTTGCAAAGTTTCTAATTCTAATGGTTTTTACATAGAATACTGTGACTTTCAAACTAAACAGATGTGAAAAGGTTGTGGATTTTAATCCCTAAAGCAGCCATGAAAAGTAAACAAACAAAAAACTAATAGATAAATTAAAATCAAATATTAATATAACTCAAAAGAAGAAAATAAAAAAGGAAAGGAAGGACAGAAGAAAAAAGAAAAAAGAAGTAAAAACAGAAAACAAAGAAAAATGGAGACAAAATCAAAATGCCACTAAATTTTAATGGACTAAGCATTTCAGTTCAAAGGCAGAGATCATCAGAATACATCAATAACAGCAAAAAAGCAAGACCTTGTTAGATGCTGTCTACAGCAGGAGAAAACATTTTAAATAAAAAGATGCAGAGTGGTTGAACATTAATGGATGGATAAAGCTGACCACACGAACTGAGTCTAAGAGGCCAAAGTGGCTGCATTAATACAGACAAAATAACCTTTAAGAAAAGAGGAAAAAGAAGGGCACTTCATAATGATATCCACGTTAGCTCGTAGGAAGACATTTAAACTGTAAATGTGTGGGGGCCAGAGGGAAGATTCAAAATATGCAAAGCAAAAACAGACAGAGTTAAAGGGGGAAACAACTCCAGAATCACAGCTGGTGTTTTGAACTCCCCTCTCTTAGCAACTGATGGAACAAGCAGGCAAAAAGTTAATAAATAGAAGATATGAACAATAATATTAATCATGTTTCCCTTATGTTCTTTCTAGAAAATCACACCCAATAATTGCACAGCACAAATTCTTTTCAAGTGCACACAATCTATTAATCATCACAGATGATATGATGCTTCATAAAACAAGTGTTGATAAGTTTAAAAGCATTTAAATCATCCAGAGTATATTCTCTGAGATCAAAATGAGACTAAATTAGAAATTAATAGCAATAAGATAACTAGGAAAACCACACATATCTGAAAAATGAAATGATATACTTCTAAATAATTTATGGGTGAAAGAGGAAATTATAAAGAAATCTGGAAAATATTTTAACCAAAGTGAGAAAGAAAATTCAGTATAGTATTTCTGGGATGCAGCTAAAGCTGGGCTTAGAGGGACACTCATAGCTGTGAATACTTCCATGAGAAAAAAGAAAGGTTTAAAGTTCAATGAGCAAAGATTCCACCTCAACAGGGCAGAAAAATAAAAGAGCATCGTGAACTCAGAGTAACCAGGACGAAGGAGATGACAAAAACAGGGGCAGAAATAAATGAAAAAGGAAAACAAGAAAAGTCCAGCAAGAACCTACTGTATCGCACAGGGACCTCTGCTCAGTGGATGTGGCAGCCTGTGTGGGAGAGGAGTTTCGGGCAGAGCAGATACGTGTGTGTGCAGCCAGTGTCAGAAACCAAGGTCAGCTGGACGTGGCCAAGCAGGAGATGGCACGAGTGAACATCGATATTTTAGGAATCAGTGAACTAAAATGGACGAGAATGGGTGAATTTAAGTCAGATGACCACTCTGTGGGACTTCCCAGGTGGCACTAGTGGTAAAGAACCTGCCTGTCAATGCAGGAGATGCAAGAGATATGGGTTTGATCCCTGGGTGGGGAAGATCTTCTGGAGTAGGAAATGGCAACCCATTCTAGTATTCTTGCCTGGAGAATCTCATGACCCGAGGAACCTAGGGGGCTACAGTCAGTAGGGTCACAAAGAGTCAGATGCACTGAAGTGACTTAGCATGCACTGGGGCAAGAATCCCTTAGAAGAAATGGAATAGCCCTCATAGTCCACAAAAGGGTCCGAAATACAATACTTTGGTGCAATCTCAAAAACAATAGAATGATCTCGGTTTGTTTCCAAGGCAAACCATTCAACATCACAGTAATCTAAGTCTATGCAGCAATCACTAATGCAGAAGAAGCTGAAGTTGAACTTTTCTATGAAGACCAACAAGACCTTCTAGAGCTAACACCAAAAAAAAAAAAAGATGTCATTTTCATCATAGGAAGTTGGAATGCAAAAGCAGGAAGTCAAGAGATACTGGGAGTAACAGGCAAGTTTGGCCTTGGAGTACAGAATGAAGCAGGGCAAAGGCTAACAGAGTTTTGCTAAGAGAACACACTGGTCATAGCAAACACCCTCTTCCAACAACCCAAGAGAAGACTCTACACATGGACATCACCAGATGGTCAACACCGAAATCAGATTATATTCTTTGCAGCTGAAGATAGAAAAACACTATACAGTCAGTAGAAACAAGACTTGGAGCTGACTGTGGCTCAGATCATGAACTCCTTATTGCCAAATTCAGACTTAAATTGAGAGGAGTAGGGAAAACCACTAGACCATTCAGGTATGACCTAAATCAAATCCTTTATGATTATACATGCATATACAGTGGAGGTGACAAATAGGTTCAAGGGATTAGATCTGCTGTAGACAAAGTGCCTGAAGAACTATGGACAGATGTTTGTAATACTGTACAGCAGGTGGTGACCAAAACCACCCCAAAGTAAAATTCAAGAAGGTAAAGTGGTTGTCTGAGACCTTACAAATGCCTGAGAAAAGAAGAGAAGTGAAAGGCAAGGGAGAAAGGGAGAGATATATCCAACTGAATGCAGAGTTCCAGAGAATAGCAAGGAGACATAAGGAAGCCTCCCTCAGTGATCAATGCAAAGAAATAGAGGAAAACAATAGAATGGGAAAGACTAGAGATCTCTTCAAGAAAATTAGAGATACCAAGGGAACATTTCATGCAAAGATGGGCACAATAAAGGACAGTAATGGTATGGACCT